AAACTTTAATGTCTTTTTTTAAAAAAATTATTTTAAAAAAAAAAAAAGGTAAAAAAAAAAAAAAAAAAAAAAAAAAACTCATTAAAACTGTTGCTTTATGAGTCAGATATTTTTTTTTTTTGGAACAGTAAAGCTCCTTCTTATTGTCACATTAAGATGTTATTAATAATACACATGAATATTTTATAGTTATTCTAATCAGTCAGCTCATAGATTAATATTTATTTCTCTTGCATATCCTCATTTAATTCACCTAATTCTTCTTCTCCCCCACTCGCCCTTTGACCCCAGATGAGCCAGGCCAGCTAAAGATCTACCTTCCCAAGAAGCTGCTCGAGTGTCTACCCAAATGTTCCTCTCTGCCCAAGGAGCGCCATCGCTGGAACACCAACGAGGTGAGAAAGAGGCACGCTTGAGCGGGAAAATATCCATGACATGGCAATGAGATGGGCTGGTTCTTTTTTTATTTGTGTGTGACTCATCTCTAAATGATGGCGCATTAAGAAGCCAAGCGGAGGTAAACAAACGCAGTGGTGGCTCTTCAGTGCGAGATCCTAAAACTGGGACAGTGGGAGACGAAATAAAGTGGAGAGGAGGATTCCTGTGTTATAAAGTTTGAAAATGTTAATCCGAACAGCTGAAGGTTTAAAGCCTCTGAACTTTTGATACAGTCAGAGTCAGACTCTGCTCATACTAGCACAGGTGTTTTTTTTTCCCTAAATTAACATTCCCTGCTGGGTCTGCACCTCCTGTTGATCCACATGTGCACTGTTTTTGGTTGTTTGGTAAAAAAAAAAAAAAAAAGAAAAGAAAGTGAGATTTTTAAAAACGCTTTCCGTCTGTTCAGACTGACAGATTGTTCGGTTTGGTGTCTCTATTTAAATCAGTGAAATGAAAGCCATGTTAGATCTGTGAGTTTTCAGCGTCTCCTCCAGTGATCTCACACATTGTCTCAATAATTACATAATAAATTGACCACATTTCAATATTTTCATTTAACCTTTTTGACAGTCTATAGTTCATTTTCTTCTCTCCTAATTCGCCTAATTTGAAAATTAAAACTGTATTTTCTGATAAAAGGTCAAGAATTGCAAAAGAAAGTGGCTTTACCCAGACAGCATCACGCTTACCGGATATCATGATCCAGCTATTTCTGGTCTTTTCAAACCGTATTCTTTAACGTTTGAGTGGGGACTGCTCACTTTTTTTGGTTTTTGATACATGAATCATAAAACATGCTGGTCTGTTCTTACTTTAGCTGCACTCTGTTCCTAGAGCTCTTTTCAGGGTGATATGTTGCTAGATCATTGCATCTCCGGTGGTAGAAATTTAGGTGGCTACACTAATCTTGGGCATCAGTGCACAACACAGTATCCGGCTAAGATAAGCAGAGATAGCAAAAATGTGCTGTTTGAATTTGAGATTATAAAATGTATATGATAACTTGTCCAGGGAGGAGGAAAAAGTCAGGAGGAGAAATGTTGCGGTAATTCTGTCATCAGAATAGTCTACTGTGGTGATGTAAAACATACCTCCTGTCATGGTTGTAGATTGAGGTTGCAGGTAGAGGCAGTGAGTGAGAGTTGGTGAAAGTTTTAATGAAAAAAAAAACAAAAAAAAACATGAACTTACAAACAAGAGAACACGGGGAGTGAGTGCGGGGAGCAGAACGGGGACCGGGTACATTCAGATAACAGGAAAAATCCAGCAGTGAGTGAGTGAAGCAAAGGAGCTAAAAACAAAGGAGCTTGATTACTGACAAAGATCAGGTGGCTGATTGGCAACAGGGTGCAGGTGAGAGAGGGAACCAGGCAGGCATGCTGAGGGAGAGAGAAAGAGTAATGGCAGAGGAAGAGAAGAGGAGGAGGAGCGCTAGCACAGGAGCTGGCAAACCATAAATCTAACCTTAACAAAGAATAACTAAACACAAGGAATGAACAATAGATCTAACATAGACAACAAAGAAAAGACTGATCTAAAGAACAAACAGAAACTAAGGCTGATCACAGATAAACAAGAAAGTTAAAATGCAAACACAGAAAAACCAAAACAACCCAAACATCCTCAGGATACGACACCGCCACTGAATGGAAGGAGCTGAAATTCTCCCTTTTCTCCTCCACAACGGTTTGTCTCATTTTTTTTTCTTTTAAAAATAAAGGATTTCGCTACACAAGTTGTGTAGCTGTCAGAACTGTGCAAACTCTAAAATCCCATAGACATTTAGTTTCTCGACATGCCATTTGGCCCATAAATGTGGAGGGAATGGAAGTCAAAAATACTGATATATTTATAACCTGTAATTTCACTTGGCCAGACACAAAATGACCTGTGATTACTGCTGCTAATTATCACAGGTAAAAGATGAACGTTTGGAGAGAGCTGATGTTTAATATTGCTATCCGTAGACTCCAGCAAATGTTTCATACAGACAGTAGGTTAAAGGAAAAGCAAATGGCTAAAGTAAAACAATGCATTTTCTTACCTGGGAAACCTTATACTCACAACCAACATCTCAGGTCACCTCACTGGTCCGGCTGCTGAGCCCCCACAAGAATCATTTATTGCAGCTGTCGCATTAACTGCATTGTGTCCTATTCCTGCAGCTTTGGGTTGTTTTCGTCCCTTGAAGCCAAGACTTTAGTACTTTTATAATCTCTTTATAATGTTTCACACAGAGAGAGTTTTTATGGTCGGTAAGAATGGATTTGCCCTCTTCACTTCTTGACCTTCACATAGAATCTCAGGGAAAGTAGGAGTTTTCACTCCATCCGTTTTCTGTGCTGCCAGTAAGCAGCCACACTTCCATTCAACATATTCCAGTCAGAAAGACATATATTTGTTTTCCTGTTTTCTGAACGTATCGACCATACATGTTCTGTGGTTCGTGACGATTTGTGACTTTATTTGTAGCGAGGGCATGGTTCAAAAGTTTATTTATGTCAGACAGAAAGTTAATTTTGAAAGTACTGATTTGCTTTTGAAAAAACAATGGAAAAGCTGATTGTGATTTATTTATCCTTCATCTTTGAAGTTTTTCTGGCTTTAAAATTTGATGAAATACACTCTTAAAAAGGGATGAAATGCCAGACTGAAGTAGAAGTGGAGATATTTTGTAACAAATCTAACATAAATAAGGTTGTCTAGCTGCAATTAACTAGTTCCAAGGCTTTATGCCCCTTTTTTTTTGTATTTGGAAGGACATTTCTACTGCAGTGTAACAGGCTATCCCCATAAAATAGGAGAAAGTTATGCTTTTCGCATCTGATTTAAAAACATAACTTACTCAGAAATATGCATATGAATTAGGTAATGCCTATGTAACTTAAGGGCATATTTAAGGTTAAGTCAATGTTAACGAAAACGTAGAGCTTTATTTTTCTCAGAAACATATGCCTACCACTCATTATTATTAGGCTGTCCCGGGGCAAGGTCAGTATTACATTAGATGACTGAAGTTCTCCCTCCAGTTGAGTTGTTGAAAACACAGTAAGGACAAATTAGCTTGGGACAGCTCCTTCATACTGCCCACATCTGACACAGAGCTAAGCTACCAAGGTGTTGAAAGCTTTCAAAGAGTTGCACGTCTCTACAGACTTAAGCTGCTAGCTTAGGAAAAAAATGTTTGATGGGTGGAAATGAATGTGAGCATTCATTGTCAACAGCTCCTTGTTTATGCGTGGCGCCGCTCTCCGCCGGTGGTTTGCTCCGCGCGCTGTGATGTTGGTCGGCCTCCGCTCAGGCATTTTCTTCATGTGCCGACTTTGCACTCCGTTACGGATGTGTGTTTGTGTTATTGATTACCAGGTCTGGCATTATTATGCAATGCAAAGCTTATTTGGCTTGTGGTTTTTCTTGCAGGAAGAGTCATTACATTTGTCATGCTATCCATCTTAATGAAGGTCATGCTGGGAGTTAAGCATGGAGCCTTTTGAACAGAGCGTTCACATGGATAGATAGCATATGATAGGGAGCAACAAGACCACAGTTGCTTCGAGATCTTCACTTGGCAGCTCATCTAAGTCCAGTTGCAAAAGCTGCTCAAGGAAATTAACAACGCTCCTGCTTTGAGCTCTCCTTTAACCTGGCATTCTCTAGTTCCTCACCAAGTTAACTCTCTCTTCGTCTCTCAACCATTCCTCCCCCACCACAAGTTCACAATCACCACCCACCCCTCTGTCTCTCTCTCTGTCTCTGATGAGGAGATACACACTCGGTTCAGGGGGAGGTTGGGGATCCCTGAGCGAATTCCTTCAAAGCTCTTCTTCCAACCAGGGATAAAGTTTCCTGCATACTTAAACACTCAATTGTCTTTTCTTTTCCTCCCTCTCCTTTTTCGGTACTTTTTCAGCGGGAGTTTTATGTATCTATGCTGTGCGTGTAGTGCATGTATGCATTTCAGTCTGTGTGTTTTTGTTTTTTTTTTGTTTTGCCTATATGGTTCAGTCTTTCTCTTTCTGCGATGTAGAACTATTGATCATAGCATTTCCATCTGTTACCTTTGTGTTCTGTGTTTGTTTATAGTATCAGAGATGTTATTTACCTGCTATAGAAATACTTTATTAAGCAGGGATGGAAAGAAAAAAAAAATCACACATCTTTATTACAGAAATCTGTATTTTTATTTTGTTCCCTCAATAAATTGCAATGGTAGACATACGATGTGGGACGTCCACACCAATCAGCTGTCAGCTGCCAAGTCTGCTGTCACATTTGAAGCTTTCAATTTATTTAAGCTGTGACATCCGCTCTGTGTGTGTGTGTGTGTGTGGGTGTGTGTGTGTGTGGGTGTGTGTGCCTGCTCGCATGTGTGTTAGTGTCTGTGGGTCTTCATATGTGTGTGTATCTGATTGAATAAGATACAGTTCTGGTGCAGACTCCAGATGATGCTCATGTGTGTTAATGCGACTGCGACAAATGGCGCGTTGAGAATACCAAGTAATTACTCAGTCCACGGAAACCTCCAGGTGTTTGTGTGTCCAGCATGTTTGCTCCTCTGGGTTTTCTAAAGAATTATTGGAATTATAAATCTTGTTTTGAACAGGCTGTTTTTTTTTCTTGTTTTTTTTTTTTTTCCTAAAGTGCCCTACAGAAGTGGAAATATCCTTGTTTTGTGTGTAGATCAGGCGCAGGCCGTGTGAGTTCTCATACAAAATACCGGAGTATAATGGCATTAACAAACGATTTAAAACAAAACTGCACAACCTGATCTACTGTTTTAATTAAAAGGACATAACTATGATTGATTTAAACTATTTAACATTTATTTATTGATTTTTCTCTGACACTTAGAAGTAAGCAAAACTATAAAATAAAAACCTTCTAAAGTTTGTCGTAGTTTTCAAGTGATTATTGTGGAGGACATTAGCTCATTGTTGTGATTTTGTTCTTTTTA